CTGAGTTGGCACGGGGCAGACAGATACAGCTGCGTATCATCTGCATATTGGTGATACTTAATCCCGTGCCGGCGTATAATCTCACCCAGCGGCTTCATGTAGATGTTAAATAGGATGGGGGACAGGACCGAACCCTGCGGCACCCCATACTTGAGGGGAGAAAAAATATCATTTTTGATCACTTCACTGTCTTAGGAAGTTTGCCTTCCCTTCGAAGAGTCAGAAGTTACTTTCATAGGATGGGATAATGATTCTGTGCTTAGATAGCCTTAAATGGGATTCCCCCACCAGATCCCAGCTTTTGAAGCCACATCTAAGAAGCAATGAAGGGGAAGAGGCAGGGAAAACAGATGCTTTGGTACGATTTCACATATGTGTGTAAATAAGAAGAGTGAAAGCTATAACTCAATTGTGACTAATTTCAGTCCCTAAAATAGCCATTGCTAATCTGGAGAGCTCTAGATATATTGATTTGACCTCTGGAACTCTGCAGATCATATCACTAAAATTCAGCAGCAAATGCAAACATCTAGGCATAAAATGTTTGCCTGGGTTTCCACAAAGAAATTGCAGTAGCATTTAGACTTATATACCACTTCACAGTGCTTTACAGACCTCTCTAAGCGGTTTACATAGTTGGCATATTGCCCCCAACAACCTGGGTGCTTATTTTACCCATCTCGGAAGGATGAAATGCTGAGTCAACCTCGAGCCCAGTGAGATTTGAACTGCCAAATTGGAGGCAGCCAGCGGTCAGCAGAAGTAGCCTGCAGTACTGCATTCTAACCACTGCAGCACCGCGGCTCTAGATATGCAGTCTAAAGAAAATAGGTACATTATATTCTTACTTGCTTAACTTACTTATTTGACTTAATTTTCCAATTCTTATAAAGGTTGAAAAAAACCCTGCAAACTTTTATTCTATCTCCTCTGTTGATGTTGTGGCTGCAAACTAGGAGTCTGTGAATTCAAGTCCTGCCTTAGCCATGAATGCCAGATGGGTGACTTTTGGCCAGTCACTCTGTTACCTCACAGGATTGTTGTAGGAAAAATAGGAGGGGAGGAGGTGTGTTGGATATGTTTGCTGTCTCGAATTATTTGTAAAAATAATAAAGGTGAGATACATACCTACAAACAAACAAGTAAATTAAAAATAGGAAGTGTTGACAATTCCTGGACAATAGTATTATAGTTTGGAGGGCAGATTAAAGAAGACTGCCATATAAAGAGTGATTCTGAGTAGGTCTTGAGTAGCTGGGGAATTCTGGGAATTGGAAGTCCAGACCTCTTAAAGTTGCAAAGGCTGAGAAACAATGGTCTATATCCATGATGGCAAACCCATGGCACGTGTGCCACAGGTAGCACACGGAGCTATTTGTTAGTGCATGTAAGGCATTGCCCTGTCAGCTCCAGCGTGCATGTGTGCGCTGCCAGCTAACTTTGGCCTTCTTTTGCCTTCTGGAGACTTCCTTCAGAAACTTCCTTGAAGCCTCGGGAGCGCAAAAAAACGGCCCTATGGGCAAACCGGAAGTTCGGGAATGGACTTCCGGTTTGCTCGTAGGGCCGGTTTTTGCCCTCCAGAGCGTTCAGGAGCCTTCAGAGAGAACCCGGCCCTATGAGCAAACTGGAAGTCCGTTTCCGAACTTTCGGTTTGCCCATAGGGCATGTTTTTCGCGCTTGTAGGCTTCAGGAAAGTTCGGAGGGCTTCCGGGGGGGGGGAGGAGGCTGTTTTCGCCCTCCCCAGGCTCCTAGAAAGTCTCTGGAGCCTGAGGAGGGCGAAAAAAGTGTGCCAAAAATGAGGGGGAGTGCGCACTGGGATTGTGCGCATATGGGTGTGGCATGCCCGTGCACAACCCCCCTCGCTCCTCCCACTTTTGGCAAGCGAGCCAAAAAAGGTTCGCCATCACTGGTCTATATGATGTTTGATTTTCTACACTGCAAATGAGAAAGTTTCAATCACTTTGCAGCAAGTCATATGGAATGTATGCAAAACGATGGAAGATCTGACTTTTCTGGCTTTGTTAATAAATACCATGTGTTGTTTTACTGTTGCTGATTTTTCTAAGTCTGGCACTATTTTCCCTTCTTTCCTGTTCTGTGTTAAAAGAAGAGCAGGAAAACTGTTAAAAGCATAATGAAATTTACAGAGATCAAGGAAAAAGCATAAGCCAACATAATTTAGCTTGAAACTTTAAGATGAATTATTTTATATTTAAAAACTCTGTGGGAAAGTGTCTGTTCTAGAAGAAATCAAATGTCATGGAATTGTTTATTCCCAGTACTTTTCAGAAAAGGAACTCCCCCCCCCCCAAGATTTCACACACCACCTAATGAAACACTGTATATAAAGACAGAGACAGAATGTTTTCAGTCAGAATGGAGAAAATCCAACCCTCTCCTAAATTAGCCTGGGACAAGTCACCTCTCCAGTTCAATTCTTCAGTGTTATTATGATGGCTGTCCAAATATTTTGGACTACTACCGCCATGATTCCCAGCAAGCACAGTTGTCATTGTTGGATGTGCATTGCCATAGTTGTAGAGTAACACATATTGGGAAGTATGCTGCATTCAGTGTATAAGACGCACTCAGATTTTCACCCTCTTTTGGGGGGGGAAAAAGGTGTGTCTTATACTCCAAAAAATATGGTACGTGCGAGAGGAACCTTTACCTCTATATGTAGTATGCAATAAAATCAAATACAACCATCTTAAATTTGCTCCCAGATCAATAGATAATTAATGCAGCTTTCTCAGGATCACTTTAATATATCCCTCCTGCATTCCTTTCTTCCTAGAAGCCTTGCACTTTGATTCAAGTATGGTTTTCAGATTGTCTTCAAAAGAGTTCTTTGTAGGATACTCTTAAAATAATTTAAATGAAAGTTTCGTTTGATCAAAGTTTACTGGAACATTGCCATAACTGAGGAAAGGCACTCCCACCCACCCGTGTCCCTCCCAACTCTGCTTTTTTGACCACCCTCCACCCTACATTGCAGGGCAGTCAACAGCCCCAGAACAGTGCAGCTCTGGAGCTACTTGAAATGACCCAGGAAGCTGCAGCCAACCTAGTCCAATCTCACTTGCCTTCTCCACCACTCTGCACTCCGAGACCTGTGCCGCTCTTCACTCTGCCACCCCAGCTGACTTTCACCCTCATTTTCTTATACTTCCAATGATGGCAAGACGTATCTGGCCTGACTGTCTCCTCAGCAGCAATAGCACTATGGTGAAAGTCATCTGAAAGTCAGCTACAAGATGACAGGCAGAGCCAAAAGGACAAAGATTGAGGAGATGGGTGAGGGAGGTGCGGTACCTCTGTGGTCATAAGTCATAAGTGGGAATGGAGTTCCAAGTGCACGAATGTTGATCATGTGACTACAGAGACACAGCAATGGCCATAACTTCATAAATCCCTTCAGTGCCATCACAGTTTCAAATGATTGTTGAACAAATGGTTGTAAGACAAAGATTACCCTCAGTGAAAAGTGATAATTTTAGAATTAAAACAGACATTATCTTAAGATTTAATTCTCTGCTTTTTCATTGGTTGGACTTTGAGGTTCATTTTTGGAATCTTGAAAAGTTGGACAGAATAATTATAAGTTTCAAGCTATTTTGAGAAGCCGTTGCAATCCTGGGAAAAATAGGGTTATTGAGAATTGTTTAAATATTACTTGTACATTTTTTTCTAGGATTATTGGATTGCAGTTAGCCCAGGTTACATTCATCTCCTTAGTCTGCAAGGCTTGGAACAGATATTCATTATAATGTTTACATTATTGCCAGAGCCAACTTAAAGGCTGAAAAAATATTCTCAAACCTCTCACATGGCTGGACATTTTTTCCCTATAAATCTTGTAAATTAGATTGTCCAAAGAGTGCAGTATCCACTGTTCTTTAATATGCCTCCACATTTGCATATACATATGAGCAAATTATTTAGACCTCAAGATGAAACTAGTTGACTAAACTTTAAGAAAACAGTTAACCACAATGGTGAAATTCAATTTTGTTTTACTACCGGTTCTGTGGGCATGGCTTGGTGGGCATGGCATGGGAAGGATACTGCAAAATTCCCACTCCCTTGACACTCCTGGGGGGGAGGATATTGCAAAAACCCCATTCCGTCACCACTCCTGGGGGAAGGATAGTGCAAAATCTCCATTCCCACCCCACTCTGGGGCCAGCCAATTGTGGTATTTGCTGGTTTTCTGAACTATCCAAAATTTCCACTACTGGTTCTCCAGAACCTGTCAGAGCCTGCTGAATTTCACCCCTGGTAAACCATCATCAGTGACTGTTTGGGAAATGTGATATTTTAATCCCGAAAATTTCCAAAGTAGGGAAGGCTTGCTTTGAACATTGTACAAATGTTTCTTTGGTCCTTAGGCAAAAATGTATCTGTGAACACTTTAAAATGTTTCTTTCAAAATACAGAATGAGATTGAAGTACTCAATACTAATTTTCACCAAATTTTCATTTGAATCCACACAAAACATGTTTGCAGAATCATCCTTATCTGGATTTCCTTTCCCCTTTTAGGTACTGTCAACAGCCACAAAATTTCATCACAGAATAATTATTTTTCATGGGAAGATTCCATTTTCAATACCTCCATACATGCTGCAATTCGACATGGAAAATGGAAACTACTCACAGGCAATCCTGGTAAATTTCTGGTGGTATTTGGGAAATGTTTGTTGAGCACTGGGTACTCGAAATTTTGAAAGCAATTGATGCTTCAAAGCAGGACTTGCAGTGTGGAGATCCTTCCAAATCCTGTTTTGCTCCTGCTGTATTCTCTGCCTTTCCTGAGCTGATTTTTTTTTTAAAAAAAGATTATTTTACTTAACACATTTAAAGGGGAAGTTGATTAAAACAAAGTACCAGCCCTTAGCATGGTCTTTATAAAAATGCATCTAGGCCAGAGGTCCCCAAACTTGGCAACTTTAAGACTAGTGGACTTCAACTCTCAGAATTCTCCAGCCAGCAGAGCTGGCTGGAGAATTCTGGGAGTTGAAGTCCACAAGTCTTAAAGTTGCCAAGTTTGAAGACCTCTGATCTAGGCCTCACAACCATTGTTGTAGCCAACCATTCTTTCACTTGCCTTGACAACAAGAAAAAGCTAGATGGAACATTTTCTT